GTAGTAGTAACAGTAGAAGCAGGTGTTAGTATTAGTAGTAGAAGTGAGGTAGTAGTAGTAGCAGTAGAAGTGGTGGTAGTAGTAGTAGCATGTGAAGTGGTGGTAAGAGTAGTACGAGTAAGTAGAAGTAGGGGTAGTAGTTAGTAGCAGTAGAAGTAGTGTTGTAGGTAGGTAGAGTGGGAGTAGTAGTAGCAGTAGAAAGTGGGGGTAGTAGTAGTAGAGTAGAAGTCAGTGTAGTATAGTAGTAGAGTAGAAGTGGTGGTATAGTAGTAGTAGCAGTAGAGTGTTTAGTAGTAGTAGAAGTAGTAGTGTATTGCAGTAGTAGTAGAAAAGTAGAAGTGTAGGTAGTAGTAGTAGCATAGAAGTGAGGTAGTAGTAGTAGCAGTAGAGTGGTGGTTTAGTAATGTGCAGTAGAAGTGGTTGGAATGTAGTAGTAGTAGCAGTAGAAGTAGTGGTTTAGTAGTATAGTCAGTAAGTGGTAGGTAGTAGTATAGTAGTAGAAGTGGTGGGTAGTATGTAGTAGTAGCATTTAAAAGGGTGGTGTAGTGTAGTAAGCAGTAGAAGTTGTTAGTAGGTAGTAGCAGTGAAGTGGTGAGTAGTATTAGTAGCAGTAGAAGTGGTGGTAGTAGTAGTAGCAGTAGAAGTGGTGAGTAGTAGTAGTAGTTAGCAGTAGATGAGTGGAGTTTAGTAGTAGCAGTAGAAGTGGTGGTAGTAGTAGTAGTAGCAGAGAAGTGGTGGTAGTAGTAGGTAGAGTAGAAAGTGGTGGTAAGTAGTAGTAGTAGCAGTAGAAGTGGTGAGTTGTATTTAGTAGCAGTAGAAGTGGTGGTAGTAGTGTATAGAGTAGAAGTGGTGTAGTGTAGTAGCAGTAGAAGTAGTGGGGTTTAGTAGTTAGTAGCAGTAGAAGTGGTGTAGTAGTAGTAGCAGTAGAAGTGGTGGTAGTAGTAGCGTAGAGTGGTGGTGTGTAGTAGCAGTAGAAGTAGTGTAGTATAGAGCAGTAGAAGTAGTGTTGTAGTAAGTAGCAGTAGAAGTGGTGGTAGTAGTAGTAGCATTTGAAGTGGTGGTAGTAGTAGTAGCAGTAGAAGTAGTGTTAGTAGTAGTAGCAGTAGAAGTGGGGGTTAGTAGTAGTAGCAGTAGAAGTGGATGTGTGGTAGTAGCAGTAGAAGTTGAGTTTTAGTTGTAGTAAGTAGCAGTAGAAGTAGTTTGTAGTAGTATGGGTTGGTAGGCAGTAGAAGTGGTGTTAGTAGTAGCAGTAGAAGTTGTTAGTGTAGTAGCAGTAAGTGGAGGTAGTAGTAGGTAGTATAGTGGGAAGTAGTTAGAGTAGAAGTAGTGAAGTAGTGTAGTAGTAATGATAGACGTAGAAGTGGTGTAGTAGTATTTTAGAAGTGGTATGGAGTAGTAGTTAGCAGTAGAAGTGGTGGTTAGTAGTTAGTAGATAGTGGAGTAGAAGTAGTGTATTTAAGTAGCAGTAGTAGAGGGGTGGTCTAGTAGTAGTAGTAGTAGAAGTGGTGGCAGTAGTAGTAGCATTAGAAGGTGGTGGTAGTAGTAGTGTAGTAGAAGTTGAAGTGGAGTAGTAGTAGTAGAAGTAGAAGTGGTGGTAGTAGTAGTAGCAGTAGAAGTGGTGGTAGTAGTAGTAGCAGTAGAAGTGGTGGTAGTAGTAGTAGCAGTATAGTGGGGGTTTAGTAGTAGTAGCAGTAGAAGTGGTGGTAGTAGTGTAAGCAGTAGAAGTGGATGGTATAGTAAGTAGCAGTAGTGGGGGGTAGTAGTTGTAGCAGTGGTGAAGTGGGGTAGTAGTAGTAGCAGTGAAGTGGTGGTGGTAGTAGTAGTAGTAGAGAAGTGGGGTTAGTAGTAGTAGCAGGTAGAAGTGTGTTAGTAGTAGTAGCAGTGAAGTGGTTTTAGATAGTAGTAGCAGTAGAAGTGTTTTATGTAGTAGCAGTAGAAGTGGTAGTTAGTAGAAAGTAGAATTGGTGGTAGTAGTTAGTGTAGAAGTAGTGTTAGATGGTAAAGTGTGTAGTATTTAGCAGTAGAAAGTGTTAGTAAGTAGCAGTAGAAGTGGTTTAGTAGTAGTAGTAGTAGAAGTAGTTTAGTAGTAGTAGCAGTAGAAGTGGTGTAGTATTAGAGTAGAAGTGTGTAGTAGTTGTAGTAGATAGTGGATGGTAGTAGTAGTGTAGTAGCAGTAGTAGTGTGGCTGTAGTAGTAGCAGTAGAATTTGGAGTGTAGTTTAGTATAGTAAGGCAGTAGTAAGCAGTAGAGTAGTGTTAAAGTAGTAGCAGTAGAAGTAGTGTAGTAGTAGCAGGATAGTGGGGTGGTAGGTAGAGTAGTTGAGGCTGTAGTAGTAGCAGTGAGTAGTGGTAGGTAATGCATTTAGAAGTAGTGTTATTTAGTAGTAGCAGTAAAATAGTGGTGGTGGGTAGCAGCTTGTTGTAGTAGCAGTAGAATGGCGTGTATTTAGCGTAGTTGGTAGTAGTAGTGAAGTGAGTGGTGTGTAGTAGTAGTGCAGTAGAAGGGTGTATAGTATTATTTAGAAGTAGATGGTGTTAGTAGTAGTAGCATTTGAAGTGGTGAATTGATGTAGTATGTAGCAGTAGAAGTGGTGGTAGTAGTAGTAGCAGTAGAAGTGGGAAGTAGTAGTAGCAGAGGTGGAGGGTAGAGTAGTAGCAGTAGAAGTTGGGTGTTAGTAGTAGTTAGCAGTAGAAGTGGTGGTAGTAGTAGTAGCAGTAGAAGTAGTGTTAGTAGTAGTAGCAGTAGAAGTAGTGGTAGTAGTGTAGTAGCGTACAATTAGGTTAGTAGTAGCAGTAGAAGTGGTGGTAGTAGTTAGTAGCAGTAGAAGTAGTGTTAGTAGTAGTAGCAGTAGAAGTGGAGGTAGTAGTAGTAGTAGTAGCAGTAGAAATTGATGTAGCAGTAGTAGCAGTAGAAGTGGTGGTGGTAGTAGTAGTAGCAGTAGAAGTGGATGTAGCAATAGTAGCAGTATATGTGGTGGTAGTAGTAGTAGCAGTAGAAGTGGTGGTAGTAGTAGTAGTAGAAGTTGAGGTAGTAGTAGTAGCAGGAGAAGTGTGGTGAAATAGTGAGAAGTGGATGTAGTAGTAGTAGCAGTAGATGTGGTGGTAGAAGTAGTAGCAGCGGAAGTGGAGGTAGTAGTAGTAGCAGTAGAAGTGGTGGTAGTGGTAGTAGCAGTAGAAGTGGTTAGTAGTCAATAGAAGTGGTAGTGTAGTAGCGTAGAAGTAGGTTTGTAGTAGTAGCAGTAGAAGTGTAGGTAGTATAGTAGCAGTAGAAGTGGTGATAGTAGTAGTAGCAGAGAAGTGGAGGTAGCAATAGTAGCAGTAGAAGTGGTGGTAGTAGTAGTAGTAGAGTAGAAGTGGAGGTAGTAGTAGTAGCAGTAGAAGTGGTGGTAGTAGTAGTTTAGTTAGTAGTAGTAGTAGAGTAGTAGATGTGGAGTTAGTAGTAGCAGCAGTAGAAGTGGTGGTATTTAGTAGTAGCAAGAAGTGGTGGTAGTAGTAGTAGTAGAAGTGGTGGTAGTAGCAGTAGCAGTAGATGAGTAGTAGTAGAGTGGGTAGGGTTGCAGTGCAGTAGAAGTGGGGTAGTAGTAGTAGCAGTAGAAGTGGTGGTGGTTGTAGTAGTAGTAGTATTTAGTAGTAGAAGTGGTTTAGTAGTAGTTGCAGTAGAAGTGGTGGTAGTAGTAGTAGCAGTAGAATTGGTGGCAGTAGTAGTAGCAGTAGAAGTGGAGGTAGTAGTAGTAGCAGTAAAGTGGGGGTAGTAGTAGCTGCAGTAGACGTGGTGGTAGTAGTAGTTGTTAGAAGTGGAGGCAGAAGTAGTAGCAGTAGAAGTGGTGGTAGTAGTAGTAGTAGTAGTAGAAGTGGAGGTAGTAGAAGTAGAAGTGGAGGTAGTAGTAGGAGCAGTAGAAGTGGTGGTAGTAGTAGGAGCAGAAGTAGTGATGGCAGTAGTAGTAGCAGTAGAGTAGTGTTAGTAGTAGTAGCAGTAGTGGGGTGGTAGTAGTAGTAGCAGTAGTAGTAGTGGTAGTAGTAGTAGTAGTAGTAGCAGTAAAGTAGTGTTAGTAGTTGTAGCTGTGGTGGTGTAGTAGTAGTAGCAGTGTAGTAGTGGTAGTAGTAGTAGAAGCAGTAGAAGTAGTGGTAGTAGTAGTAGAAGCAGTAGAAGTAGTGTTAGTAGTAGTAGCAGTAGAAGTGGTGGTAGTAGTAGTAGCAGTAGAAGTGGCAGTAGTAGTAGTAGCAGTAGAAGTAGTGGTAGTAGTAGTAGTAGAAGTGGAGGTAGTAGTAGTAGCAGTAGAAGTGGTGGTAGTAGTAGTAGCAGTAGAAGTGGTGGCAGTAGTAGTATTTAGCAGTAGAAGTGGAGTAGTAGTAGTAGCAGTAGAGTGGGGGTTTAGTAGTAGTAGCAGTAGAAGTGGTGGTAGTAGTAGCAGTAGAAGTGGAGGTAGTAGTAGTAGCAGTAGAAGTGGTGGTGGTAGTAGTAGTAGTAGTAGAAGTGGAGGTAGTAGTAGTAGCAGTAGAAGTGGTGGTAGTAGTAGTAGTTGCAGTAGAAGTGGTGGCAGTAGTAGTAGCAGTAGAAGTGGAGGTAGTAGTAGTAGCAGTAAAAGTGGAGGTAGTACTAGCAGCAGTAGAAGTGGTGGTAGTAGTAGTAGTAGTAGAAGTGGAGGCAGAAGTAGTAGCGTAGAAGGGTGGTAGTAGTAGTAGCAGTGGAAGTGGAGGGTAGATAGTACAGTAGAAGTGTGGTAGTAGTAGTAGCAGTGGAAGTGGATGTAGCAGTAGTAGCAGTAGAATTGGTGATAGTAGTAGTATCAGTAGAAGTGGATGTAGCAGTAGTAGCAGTAGAAGTGGTGGTAGTAGTAGTAGTAGTAGAAGTGGAGGTAGTTATGTAGCAGTAGAAGTGTGGGTAGTAGTAGTAGTAGTAGAAGTGGAGGTAGTAGTAGTAGCAGTAGAAGTGGTGGTAGTAGTAGTAGTAGTCGAAGTGGAGGTAGTAGTAGTAGCAGTAGAAGTGGTGGTAGTAGTAGAAGTGGATGTAGTAGTAGTAGCAGTAGAAATGGTGGTAGTAGTAGTAGCAGTAGAAGTGGAGGTAGTAGTAGTAACAGTAGAAGTGGTGGTAGTAGTAGTAGTAGCAGAAGAAGTGGTGGTAGTAGCAGTAGAACTGGTGGTAGTAGTACTAGCAGAAGAAGTGGTGGTAGTCGTAGTAGAAGTGGTGGTAGTAGTAGTAGCAGTAGAAGTGGTGGTAGTAGTAGTAGAAGTGGTGGTAGTAGTAGTAGCAGTAGAAGTGGTGGTAGTAGTAGTAGCAGTAGAAGTGGAGGAAGTAATAGTAGCAGTGGAAGTGGTGGTAGTAGTAGTAGAAGTGGAGGTAGTAGTATTAGCAGTAGAAGTGGTGGTAGTAGTAGTAGAAGTGGTGGTAGTAGTAGTAGCAGTAGAAGTGGTGGTAGTAGTAGTATCAGTTGAAGTGGTGGTAGTAGCAGTAGAAGTGGTGGTAGTAGTAGTAGCAGCAGAAGTGGTGGTAGTAGTAGTAGCAGTAGAAGTGGTGGTAGTAGTAGTAGCAGTAGAAGTGGAGGAAGTAATAGTAGCAGTAGAAGTGGTGGTAGTAGTAGTAAAAGTGGTGGTAGTAGTAGTAGCAGTAGAAGTGGTGGTAGTGTAGTAGAGTTAGAAGTGGTTGTTAGTGTATTGTAGCAGTAGAGTGGTGTTAGTAGTATTAGTAGCAGTAGAAGTGGTGGTAGTAGTATTAGTAGCAGTAGAAGTGGTGGTAGTAGTATTAGTAGCAGTAGAAGTGGTGGTAGTAGTATTAGTAGCAGTAGAAGTGGTGTTAGTAGTATTAGTAGCAGTAGAAGTGGTGGTAGTACTATTAGTAGCAGTAGAAGTGGTGCTAGTAGTAGTAGTAGCAGTAGAAGTGGTGTTAGTGGTAGTAACAGTAGAAGAGGTGTTAGTATTAGTAGCAGTAGAAGTGGAGGTAGTAGTAGTAGGAGTGGAAGTGGTGGTAGTAGTAGCAGCAGTAGAAGTAGTGTTAGTAGTAGTAGCAGTAGAAGTAGTGGTAGTAGCAGTAGCAGTAGAAGTAGTGTTAGTAGTAGTAGCAGTAGAATTAGTGTTAGTAGTAGTAGCAGTAGAAGTTTAGGTAGCAGTAGTAGCAGTAGAAGTGGTGGTAGTAGTAGTAGTAGTAGTAGTAGTAGTATTAGTAGTAGAAGTGGTGGTAGTAGTAGTAGCAGTAGAAGTGGTTGTAGTAGTAGTAGTAGTAATAGAAGTGGAGGCAGTAGTAGTAACATTAGAAGTGGTGGTAGTAGTAGTAGAAGAAGAAGTGTAGGTAGTAGTAGTAGCAGTAGAAGTGGAGGTAGTTTAGTAGCAGTAAAAGTTTGGGTATAGTAGTAGTAGCAGTAGAAGTGGAGGTAGTAGTAGTAGCAGTAGAAGTGGTGGTGGTGTAGCGCAGTAGAAGTGCAGGTATAGTAGTAGCAGTAGAAGTGGTGTGAGTGTAGCAGTAGAAGTGGAGGTAGTAGTAGTAGCAGTAGAAGTGGTAGTAGAAGTATTTAGTAGCGTAGAGAAGTGGTGGTAGTAGTTAGTAGCAGGGACAAGTGGTGTTAGTAGTATGGAAGTAGAAGTGGTGGTAGCGGGTAGTAGTAGTAGCTGTAGAAGTAGTGTTAGTAGTAGTAGCATTAGAAGTGGTGGTGGTAGTAGTAGTAGAAGAAGAAGTGTAGGTAGTAGTAGTAGCAGTAGAAGTGGAGGTAGTATTAGAAAGCAGTAGAAGTGGTGTATAGTAGTGCAGTAAAGTGGAGGTAGTAGTAGCGCAGAGAAGTGGTGGTAGTAGTGTAGTTTTTAAAAAGTGGAGCATTAGTAGTAGCATTAGAAGTGGTGGTAGTAGTAGTAGAAGAAGAAGTGTAGGTAGTAGTAGTAGCAGTAGAAGTGGAGGTAGTATTAGTAGCAGTAGAAGTGGTGGTAGTAGTAGTAGCAGTAGAAGTGGAGGTAGTAGTAGTAGCAGTAGAAGTGGTGGTAGTAGTAGTAGCAGTAGAAGTGGAGGTAGTAGTAGTAGCAGTAGAAGTGGTGGTAGTAGTAGTAGCAGTAGGAGTAGTGGTAGAAGCAGTAGTAGTAGAAGTGGGGGTAGTAGTAGTAGCAGGACAAGTGGTGTTAGTAGTAGTAGAAGTAGAAGTGGTGGTAGCAGTAAAAGTAGCAGTAGAAGTAGTGTTAGAAGTAGTAGCAGTAGAAGTGGTGGTAGTAGTAGTAGCAGTAGAAGTGGTGGTAGTAGTAGTAGCAGTAGAAGTGGTGTTAGTAGTAGTAGCAGTAGTGGTGGTGGTAGTAGTAGTAGCAGTAGTAGTTGATGACAGTAGTAGTAGCAGCAGTAGAAGTAGTGGTAGTTGTAGTAGTAGCAGTGAAGTGGTGTTAGTATATTAGTAGCAGTAGAAGTGGTGGTAGTAGTATTGTAGCAGTAGAAGTGGTGGTAGTAGTATAGTAGCAGTAGAAGTGGTGGTAGTAGTATTTAGTATAGCAGTAGAAGTAGTGTTAGTTAGTAGCGTAGAAGTGTGTTAGTATTTCAGTAGAAGTGTGGTGTAGTAGTAGTAGTGATGGTAGTAGTAGCAGTAGTAGATGGCAGTATAGTAGCAGTAGAAGTAGTGGTAGTAGTAGTAGTAGCAGTAGAAGTAGTGTTAGTAGTAGTAGCAGTAGAAGTGGTGTTAGTAGTAGTAGCAGTAGAAGTAGTGGTAGTAGTAGTAAGTAGAAGTAGTGTTAGTATAGTAGCAGTAGCAGTATGGCAGTTGTAGTAACAGTTGAAGTGTGGTAGTAGTAGTAGTAGCAGTAGAAGTAGTGTTAGTAGTAGTAGCAGTAGAAGTGGTGTTAGTAGTAGTAGCAGTAGAAGTGGTGGTAGTAGTAGTAGTAGTGATGGTAGTAGTAGTAGCAGTAGTAGTGATGGCAGTAGTAGTAGCAGTAGAAGTAGTGGTAGTAGTAGTAGTAGCAGTAGAAGTAGTGTTAGTAGTAGTAGCAGTAGTAGTGATGGCAGTAATAGTAGCAGTAGAAGTAGTGGTAGTAGTAGTAGCAGTAGAAGTAGTGTTTAGTGTAGAGCAGTAGCAGTGTGCAGTAGTAGTAACATTGAGTAGTGGTAGTAGTAGTAGTAGCAGTAGAAGTAGGGTTAGTAGGAGTAGCAGTAGTGGTGGTGGTAGTAGTAGTAGCAGTAGTAGTGATGGCAGTAGTAGTAGAAGTAGAAGCAGTGTTAGTAGTAGCAGCAGTAGAAGTAGTGGTAGTAGTAGTAGTAGCAGTAGAAGTAGTGGTAGTAGTAGTAGTAGCAGTAGAAGTGGTGTTAGTAGTATTAGTAGCAGTAGAAGTGGTGGTAGTAGTATTAGTAGCAGTAGAAGTGGTGGTAGTAGTATTAGGAGCAGTAGAAGTGGTGTTAGTGGTAGTAACAGTAGAAGATGTGTTAGCATTGGTAGCAGTAGAAGTGGAGGTAGTAGTAGTAGCAGTAGAAGTGGTGGTAGCAGTAGTAGCAGTAGAAGTGGGGGTAGTAGTAGTAGTAGTAGTAGTGATGGTAGTAGTAGTAGCAGTAGAAGTGGTGGTCGTAGTAGTAGCAGTAGAAGTGGTGGTAGTAGTAGTAGCAGTAGAAGTGGTGGTAGTAGTAGTAGCAGTAGAAGTAGTGGTAGTAGTAGCAGTAGAAGTGGTGTTAGTAGTAGTAGCAGTAGAAGTGGTGGTAGTAGTAGTAGCAGTAGAAGTTGTGGCAGTAGTAGTAGCAGTAGAAGTAGTGTTAGTAGTAGTAGTAGCAGTAGAAGTGGAGGTAGTAGTAGTAGCAGTAGAAGTGGAGGTAGTAGTAGTAGCAGTAGAATTAGTGTTAGTAGTAGTAGCAGTAGAAGTAGTGTTAGTAGTAGTAGCAGTAGAAGTGGAGGTAGTAGTAGTAGTAGCAGTAGAAGTGGAGGTAGTAGTAGTAGCAGTAGAATTAGTGTTAGTAGTAGTAGCAGTAGAAGTAGTGTTAGTAGTAGTAGCAGTAGAAGTGGAGGTAGTAGTAGTAGCAGTAGAAGTGAAGGTAGTAGTAGTAGCAGTTGAAGTGGTGGTAGTAGTATTAGTAGTAGTAGTAGTAGTAGTAGTAGAAGTAGTAGTAGTAGAAGTGGAGGTAGTAGTAGTAGCAGTAGAAGTGGTGGTAGTAGCAGTAGAAGTGGTGGTAGTAGTAGTAGCAGTAGAAGTGGAGGTAGTAGTCGTAGTAGTATAAGTGGAGGTAGTAGTAACAGCAGTAGAAGTGGTGGTAGTAGTAGTAGTAGAAGTGGAGGCAGTAGTAGTAGCATTAGAAGTGGTTGTAGTAGTAGTAGTTGTAGAAGTAGTAGAAGTGGAGGTAGTATTAGTAGCAGTAGAAGTGGTGGTAATAGTAGTAGCAGTAGAAGTGGAGGTAGTAGTAGTAGCAGTAGAAGTGGTGGTAGTAGTAGTAGCAGTAGAAGTGGAGGTAGTAGTAGTAGCAGTAGAAGTGGTGGTAGTAGTAGTCGTAGTGGTGGAAGTGGAGGTAGTAGTAGTAGCAGTAGAAGTGGTGGTAGTAGTAGTAGTAGTAGAAGTGGGGGTAGTAGTAGTAGCAGGAGAAGTGGTGCTAGTAGTAGTAGCAGTAGAAGTGGTGGTAGTAGTAGTAGTAGCAGTAGAAGTAGTGTTATTAGTAGTAGCAGTAGAAGTGGTGGTAGTATTAGTAGCAATAGAAGTGGTGGTAATAGTAGTAGCAGTAGAAGTGGAGATAGTAGTAGTAGCAGTAGAAGTGGTGGTAGTAGTAGAAGTAGAAGTGGTGGTAGTAGTAGTAGCAGTAGAAGTGGAGGTAGTATTAGTAGCAGTAGAAGTGGTGGTAATAGTAGTAGCAGTAGAAGTGGAGGTAGTAGTAGTAGCAGTATAAGTGGTGGTAGTAGTAGTAGCAGTAGAAGTGGAGGTAGTAGTAGTAGCAGTAGAAGTGGTGGTAGTAGTAGTCGTAGTGGTGGAAGTGGAGGTAGTAGTAGTAGCAGTAGAAGTGGTGGTAGTAGTAGTAGTAGTAGAAGTGGGGGTAGTAGTAGTAGCAGGAGAAGTGGTGCTAGTAGTAGTAGCAGTAGAAGTGGTGGTAGTAGTAGTAGTAGCAGTAGAAGTAGTGTTATTAGTAATAGCAGTAGAAGTGGTGGTAGTAGTAGTAGCAGTAGAAGTGGTGGTAGCAGTAGTAATAGCAGTAGAAGTAGTGTTAGTATTAGTAGCAGTAGAAGTGGTGGTAGTAGTAGTAGCAGTAGAAGTGGTGTTAGTAGTAGTAGCAGTAGAAGTGGTTTTAGTAGTAGTAGTAGCAGTAGAAGTAGTGTTAGTAGTAGAAGTGGTGTTAGTAGCAGTAGCAGTAGAAGTGGTGGTAGTTGTAGTAGTAGTAGTAGTGATCGTAGTAGTAGTAGTAGTAGTAGTGATTGCAGTAGTAGTAGCAGTAGAAGTTGTGGTAGTAGTAGTTGTAGTAGTAGTAATGGCAGTAGTAGAAGCAGTAGAAGTAGTGGTTGTATTAGTAGTAGCAGTAGAAGTAGTGTTAGTAGTAGCAGGAGTAGTGGTATTGGTAGTAGTAGTAGCAGTAGTAGTGATGGCTGTAGTAGTATCAGTAGAAGTAGTGGTAGTAGTAGTAGTAGCAGTAGAAGTAGTGTTAGTAGTAGTAGCAGTAGAAGTAGTGTTAGTGGTAGTAGCAGCAGTGGTGGTGGTAGTAGTAGTAGCAGTAGTATTGATGGCAGTAGTAGTAGCAGTAGAAGTGGTGGTAGTAGTATTAGTAGCAGTAGAAGTGGTGGTAGTAGTAGTAGTAGCAGTAGAAGTGGTGTTATTAGTATTAGTAGAAGTAGAAGTTGTGTTAGTAGTAGTAGTAGCAGTAGAAGTGGTGATAGTGGTAGTAACAGTAGAAGAGGTGTTAGTATTAGTAGCAGTAGAAGTGGAGGTAGTAGTAGTAGCAGTAGAAGTAGTGGTAGTAGTAGTAGCAGTAGAAGTGGTGGTAGTAGTTTTAGTAGCAGTAGAAGTGGAGGTAGTAGTAGTAGCAGTAGATGTAGTGTTAGTAGTAGTAGCACTAGAAGTGGTGGTAGTAGTAGTAGCAGTAGAAGTAGTGTTAGTAGTAGTAGCAGTAGAAGTAGTGGTAGTAGTAGTAGTAGCAGTAGAATTAGTGTTAGTAGTAGCAGTAGAAGTGGTGGTAGTAGTAGTAGCAGTAGAAGTAGTGTTAGTAGTAGTAGCAGTAGAAGTGGAGGTAGTAGTAGTAGTAGTAGCAGTAGAAGTTGATGTAGCAGTAGTAGCAGTATATGTGGTGGTAGTAGTAGTAGGAGTAGAAGTGGTGGTAGTAGTAATAGTAGAAGTGGATGTAGTAGTAGTAGCAGTAGAAGTGGTGGTAGTAGTAGTAGCAGCAGAAGTGGAGGTAGTAGTAGTAGCAGTAGAAGTGGTGGTAGTAGTAGTAGCAGGAGAAGTGGTGGTAGTAGTAATAGTAGAAGTGGATGTAGTAGTAGTAGCAGTAGAAGTGGTGGTAGTAGTAGTAGCAGCAGAAGTGGAGGTAGTAGTAGTAGCAGTAGAAGTGGTGGTAGTAGTAGTAGCAGTAGAAGTGGTAGTAGTAGCAATAGAAGTGGTGGTAGTAGTAGTAGCAGTAGAAGTAGTGTTTGTAGTAGTAGCAGTAGAAGTGGAGGTAGTAGTAGTAGCAGTAGAAGTGGTGATAGTAGTAGTAGCAGCAGAAGTGGAGGTAGCAATAGTAGCAGTAGAAGTGGTGGTAGTAGTAGTAGTAGCAGTAGAAGTGGAGGTACTAGTAGTAGCAGTAGAAGTGGTGGTAGTAGTAGTATTAGTAGTAGTAGTAGTAGTAGAAGTGGAGGTAGTAGTAGTAGCAGTAGAAATGGTGGTAGTAGTAGTAGCAGAAGAAGTGGTGGTAGTAGTAATAGCAGTAGAAGTGGTGGCAGTAGTAGTAGTAGCAGTAGAAGTGGAGGTAGTAGCAGTAGCAGTAGAAGTGGAGGTAGTAGTAGGAGCAGTAGAAGTGGTGGTGGTTGTAGTAGTAGTAGTAGTAGAAGTGGATTTAGTAGTAGTAGCAGTAGAAGTGGTGGTAGTAGTAATAGCAGTAGATTTGGTGGCAGTAGTAGTAGCAGTAGAAGTGGAGGTAGTAGTAGTAGCAGTAAAAGTGGAGGTAGTAGTAGCAGCAGTAGAAGTGGTGGTAGTAGTAGTAGTAGTAGAAGTGGAGGCAGAAGTAGTAGCAGTAGAAGTGGTATTAGTAGCAGTAGCCGTAGAAGTGGATGTAGCAGTAGTAGCAGTAGAAGTCGTGGTAGTAGTAGTAGCAGTAGAAGTGGATGTAGCAGTAGTAGCAGTAGAAGTGATGGTAGTAGTAGTAGCAGTAGAAGTGGAGGTAGTAGTAGTAGCAGGAGAAGTGGTGGTAGTAGTAGTAGTAGAAGTGGATGTAGTAGTAGTAGCAGTAGAAGTGGTGGTAGTAGTAGTAGAAGTGGTGGTAGTAGTAGTAGCAGTAGAAGTGGTGGTAGTAGTAGTAGCAATAGAAGTGGTAGTAGTAGCAGTAGAAGTGGTGGTAGTATTAGTAGCAGTAGAAGTGGTGGTAGTAGTAGTAGTAGCAGCAGTAGAAGTGTAGGTAGTAATAGTAGCAGTAGAAGTGGTGGTGGTAGTAGTAGTAGTAGCAGTAGAAGTGGTGGTAGTAGTAGTAGCGGTAGAAGTGGAGGTAATAGTAGCAGCAGTAGAAGTGGTGGTAGTAGTACAAGTGGTGGTAGTAGTGGTAGCACTGTTAGTGAGTGCACTTCACCCACTTACAACCATCACCTTCTGGTCAATTAGTGTTGTGCGGTAGACTTCATGTATCTTGTACAGGACAAGGAAGGAAGCTAACTAGGCGGTTATGTTTTGTTAAAATTAACGGGGTCCAGTAATTATGGTGTCACTCCACCAAGTGTCCTAGGTGCTACACACCTGGATAATACAACCAGGCTTAATCAGGGACATAACAGAGGTAGGTACCCTTTTATACTTCCAACTACAACCTGCAGAAGGGATGTTAGGTTACATCTAGTACAGCTGAGGTGGCTGGGGACTCGTGGGCCTGACTGACGTGCAATTACTGTAAATTACAGCGCTATCCTTCTAATTGTCGACTATTTATTCAGTAAAAAACCCCATTGACTTTTATATATATATTGTAATATAATATTATATTATATATATTATATATATATATATATATATATATATAATATTATATATATATATATATATTATATATATATTTTATATATATTATATATATGTCGTGCCCAATATGTAAAACTGGTCAGTTAACAAGAACTCATTTAAAATTAGGTCCTTTCTAAATTTTCTCTTATACGTTTAAAGATATATTTTTTTCATTAATGTTGATGTAAAAAATAATAATTTTGCACCAAAAGAATCTTAGAAAACTTACCTAACCTTATTATAACAAGAACAATTTTATTTTAGCCTAACTCAACTAAATATATTTTAGATTTGTTTGCAATAATTTAATACTAAACAAACACAGTGAAATATATTTTTTTCGTTAGGTTCAGAATGATTTTGGCGAAATTATTGAATACACAAATTTTCATTTGTCCTATATAGCAAGATGAGCGTTGCTTTTTAAGCCAAGACCGCAAGTTCTGCCTATTCGGCACGACATATATATATATATATATATTATATATATATATATATATATATATATATATATATATATATATATATATATATATATATAATATATATATATATCTGGCACCTCTGCCAGAGAGAGGCTGTGAGCATTCTGCTCTGTGATTTTGGCACATCGTCCAATCAAGAATACCTACCAGGACTATCATCAACAGGCTGGTGTGTGAATATCTGCTGCTCGTGTTGGAAAGGGCCAAAAGACTGCATTTCGTCTCTTCCTTCAGAATCAAGAAAAGTTCTGTGTATGTGAATTCAGTGAGGGAACATAACGGTCACCTATGGGTAGGAGAGGTCTGTGAGGGGAGGCCTCATGGAGGAGGAGGAGGAGGCGGAGGTTGAGAGGTAAAACTGTCCCCCCCTTCCCCAAACAGGCGCACATACACTGTGTGCTCGTGTTACAACAATGGAGTAATACACAAATAACCCGCACATAAAAGAGAGAAGCTTACGACGACGTTTCGGTCCGACTTGAACCATTGACAAAGTCACCAACAATGGAGTGTTTCTTCACCGTGTGTATAGTGTATATAGTCTATAGTGTACAGTGCATAGTATGTGCATGGTATGCGCATAACATGTGTAGTGTATAGCGGTGTGTCGTTGATAGTGGGGGCTGTGCACAGAGCATAGTGGTGTATAGTAACATGTGCACAGAGCATCGTGGTGTATAGTGACTTGTCCTGGGAGGTAGTGAGTGCCCTACTCCGCCTCATCACACTTCTTTCACTCCTCCCTTTCTTCCACCGCTACCACAAGGAAGGGAGACCCCTCTCCTCCCCCCACCACCACCATGAACCGCATCGGTATGTGCCATGCGCCCCTTTTCCTTCAGCCTGGGCCCTTACCACACAGTTTGGGGTATGGAGTGATGAACCCAGCCACCCACAAAGCAGGGAAAAAATGCACCCAACAATGAAAGAAGGGCACATGTCAGGTGTTGGAGAGTTTCGAGCCTCAACGGGAGGGCCCGCATTGTGCACACAATGGGTGTGCAGGACCCAAATATCCCCCCAGCAGGAGAGCCCACAGCCCCCCAAAAGCGTTGACATTCCAAGGCAACCTCGTCATTTGCGATAACCTTTGTTGGATTCAAACCCATGCTAGCAGTACACTATCCACACCCCCAAAAGGGGGCTCGCCCATAGCAGAGGGAAATTCACAGCCCCTTCTTAAGCGGGTGAATGGAGGTTTCACCAACTTAGAACCCCGAGGCCCCACCCAAAGCGGGCGAATATTTTGTCGGCAATGTCTGTCTTGCATTTCTTAAAATACGAGGAAAAATGCAAACCCCGTCGTTATCAAGGAGTGCGCAATCCCCAAGAACGGATAATTGTTCCCCTCTGCCCCATCATCACGGGAATTTAAAGAGGTGACCAAAAAAAAATCCCAATGAAAACGAGAAAATTTGGCCGGAAAGCAAAAAATCGGAAAGAAGGGTAACCAGTGGGAGAAATAAGAAAAATTAAAAGGGGACGCCCTGTAGCCCTCAAGGAGAGCCACGCCCCAAGCACTAAGAGACAAACACCAAAAAGGGACACCTAGCCTCAACGACAACCCTGAGGAAGACCCCATCACTGAAAAATTAATTTTGCCAAAAATGGGAAAGTCTAAAAGGCGATCACATCATTTCCAGCGGATCTGCAGGGGGTTTTTACCTGGAATTCGCCCCTCAGCACCTCAAAGAGATGGTTCCAGTACCCCGGTGAATTGCATCAATTCTTCTCCCCGAGTTAAAACTTTCGTCAATAATTCCCTGGCGGGGCGAACCCCGCAAAAATTAAAACCCTTTCTTTTTTGGACCCTCACTAGTGTTTGAAGACGGGGATGGGGGGGAAATTTCGACCCATTGCTTTGGGAAAAACACTCTTCGCCGTCTCGTGCCAAAGCAGCAGTGAAAAAACATTCGCCTAGAACATGGTATTCATTGCGCGGCTCGCGAGCCTGGGGCTCGTGATGTTTCAATTCCGGCTTCGAAAAATATTAAATTAATTTAAATAAAAAATTACATAGAAAAAAATTTTTCAAGTAAGTACATATTTCGTGAGGTGAGATGGAAGAAGTACGTAAGAGATAACATTCAAACATCCCCTTCCTTGTACAGAAATCTTTGTGTTCACTACGGGAAATTGATCAGGGACAGTCTAGCTCTAGGCGCGGTGGTCTCGCTAAATCAGTTGGTTCAAGCTTTCGGAGAGAGGGGACGTATTTCATTACTCTTGGAGATTTGTGTTTGGAAAATAGGCAACAGATATTTGAGATGGGGCAACATATATGAAAGTAACGACTTAATGTTGCGTTGGGAAGCTAGCTGCGGTGGGCTTTTTTACTTAAAACCAAAAAGTGCAGTCAAGTAGTGTCCGTTTGAAAATCGATTTGAGTTAAGCGCAGCTAGCACACTTCGCTATACAGCATAAGTAAGTTTGGTTTTTTATTTTGTTTAAAAAAAGATATGCGGCAAATATTACCTGTCTAATTTTTCTCATTTACTTTATTGCACTAGCAGCTCAGTCCTACTTAATTTAGTTGAGTTACCCTAACTTGCAGTAGCTGCGGCTCTCTCAATCAATGTGTTTAACCGAAGTGGCTCTCTTGCAAAAATTAATGAATAACACTGGCCTAGAAGCTGCCACTTTACTCCCGCCTCACCAACAGGGTTTGGGGTTCTCAAGGCAAAAGTGCAGTCATGCCAAACAGTTCATCAGGGACCTCCCAGAAGAAAAGGCCTAGTCAAACTTGATTTTAGAAATGCCTTTAATATGGTGAAGTGAGATGCTGTTTTGCCAGCTGTTCGGGATCAGTTCACTAGTCTTTTTCCCTTCATTTCAGCCAGCTACAGCAAACCCTCAGTTCTTTTGTTTGGAGAACATGAAATTCAATCATCAGAGGGTGTTCAGCAGGATGACCCACTCGCCCCACTTCTTTTGCTTGGTGTAAGGAACTAACTTCCAGCCTACGCAGTGAGCTCTATCTGGTCCTGGTGACGGCACTCGGGCAGGTACTGAAAAGGTCCCTTCGGGGGGGGGACCTAAAAAGGTTGAAACACGGGATTGGGACTCACCCTCAACCCTCAAGTTGAAACTCACAGCAAACCCCAGGAAAAAAAATAATGGGGGGTGGAAGTTTTCCCGAATTTATCCCATGTCCGTCCCCCTCTTACAAGGGGCCCCAGGCCATTACATTCCTAAGGACAAAAAAACCCTGATGAATGGAGGAAGAATAACTTTAGAGGCCCTTGACCTTCACAAGGGGGCTTATTCCCAAATCCATTCCTGAGGTGTGCCCCCTCTTTTGCAACCCCCTTGTGTTTGGCCCCAGTAAATTTTAAAAAGGGATAAACCGCCTTGAGGGAGTGGGTCAGGACCCCCCGTAACTGGGGGATAGGGGGACAAACAATCTGGTTTTTTACCGCTTTTCGCTTTGGGCCCGGCTTTGAAAAAAAAAAAAAAAAACTAAAAAAAAAA